GTGTCAAAGCAATTGGTCAATCAAGGCCTCCACAAGAACGTTTTGCTTCCGCAAAGCCGTTCGCAATGCTTTCACGCCCTCATAGTTCACTTCTGCGGACATGTGATTCCGGAAGGTATATCTTTCGCTGTGCTGTCGAGGCCAACTCGGCTCAACGGACTAGACCGAACGGACTTGGAAGCTCCAATTGAATCTCCTTTCAGGGTGGTGTTTGCATGTCCTCGTACAAGGCAGCAGTACAACATACACTCCTGCTTTAAAAGACACCCTCAAATAAATAACCGTCAAATGCCCAGTGGCCATGGGAAGAAAAAAAAAACAAAACACGGGCATCCCTTTTTTGGTTGGTTGAGTTTTAAAAGGAACCCGCCCACAAAAAGGGAAAAATGGAGCCACTGAGCAACAGGGCCACATTCGCCGGGCGTGTGCAGAGTCACCCGGACTGCGCCTTCGATGGTGTCCACGATCCACTGGGACAAGGTGGCGATGAAAACCTCAGGGGCCACCGTGCGAAGACCAAACCAGGCCGCGATTCAGCGATTCCTCGCGCGCCACCGAAGGAACTCCGAAGGGACTCCGAAGGATGTGCCGAATAAGCCACAGCCCATGAAAAGCCACCAGGCCAATCCTCGTCCCTCCTCGCGTCATCTTCAACTCGTCGATTTCTCCCCCAATGCATCTGCAATTCTTTCCAACGTAGCCCAACCGGAGCAACCCCCCGACAACGAGCTCGAACCCCAATACCTGCAAAACCTGCAATCAGGAACGGATACACCATCTTGGGAGCAATCAGCATCCAATGCCTGTCGGCCACTTCTGACAGTCCCAAGATTGCCCCGTACGCATTGAGCAAAGCGCTCCTTCGCGCGCTATGTCCTATGCATCAAACCAGCCAACGCTGCAAAGCAAGCAGTTCATGTTAGCCTTGGCAAAATCAGACCTCTGGGAAAAACACTTCAGGAATACCCATGCCCTTGCGGCTTCCTCCGGACAAATCAAAGGATTACCCTCCCTCCCAACTAACATGGCAACTGACAGGGGCTCCCTTCAAAAGGAATTCATCTTCCAGGCACCCCCCCACAGGCGCCATGTTAGTTGAAGGAAGGGTATTGCTCTCTAGCACTCAGCTACGAGTAAATTGGCGGATTCAATGCCTTGAGCTCGGCGCTGTGATCAAACCCAGCCAGAAGATGCCGCCCTTGAAGCCGAGGATGCCTATCGTTGCCCAAGGACCCCCCCCCAACCCCCCACACGGCGCGCTTTCTTCGGAACTCTTGCTCTGTCTTGGCTGCTGCAACGACCCCTCTGCAAAAAGTTGACAGCTTTTTGTGGGTTTAGTGGAAAAGCCCTTGATCTCCCAAAAAGTTAAAGTCTAAAGATCCAACCCAATAGCAGTCAAGTTGTGGCAGCACAGCCCCAAGCCGCAGGTGCCTTGACGATGGAGAAAACATGTCCTATAGTCTGGCCCTGGCTTCTCGCTTTGGGCTTCACGGAGGGCCTGGGAAGGAAACGGCTTCTGTGGATTCCCATGAATTTCTGGATTGCTGGGTGGTGTCCTTTCCAGAAATTCGCGGCTCACCACTGGACGCGGGCATGATCTCTGGACCACTGGTGTATAGAGCCTGAAAGTACATGAGGCGCCAGCCATGCACTGAGTGGATCCCCACCTTGGCCTTGCATTGGCTCCAGAAATCTCCAGAACTACAAGGGCAACGTGGTGCATGTCACCAACGTGCGAAGGGGGTGACGTGTTCGCGACCCGCAGGGCCTGGATCTTCTTCCTCCTCGTCCTCCTCAGGTGAACGCAACCCAAAGCCAAGTTGAACACCGTGCCGTCAGATCTGAGATTGGTTCAGCGCCCTTGGACCATGGTCGCCTGTTGCTGTCCCGGAGCTGAACATCCTCAAGGGGTGACCATTCAGATTCCCTCCGATGATTTACCTGGAATCCACCAAACGGTCGCTCACAAGGAGGTTTTTTTGCACGTTACTAGCAGTCCGAATCTTCAGGAACTTACTTTCAACCCTATACAAGCTCGCAGCAATTCGTCCCGCCTCTCCCTCAAAGAGGTGGGTGTGGGTGACCAGCTGAAAGAAGATCAGCAGGCCATACATGATAAGCCTGAACAGGCTCATGTGGCCATGGGGCATAACCCATGGCTCCATTTTGGGGTGGATGAACATCCATTTTGATGTTCACCAGGGGTACAGGGTTTTGACCCACAGCCATGTGACTCATGTGCTTCAACATGTACATCTGCAAACCAATTAAAGGGAAAGCTTAGCTGGGATGCTTGCACATGCATAGCAAATGTTGAAGCTTACGCCATTTGCAAAATACCATCCTTTATCAGACTTTATCACTTCAGCCGTACAAAATCCTCAAGGGTTGATCGACGGCCATGCGTAAAGCCGGGCGTTGTCTTTCAGCAACCAGTTGAGGCACTGGGAAACGCAGTTTCATGGGGCTGAGGGACTCCATAATTTCGCGGAGGTCGTTCATGCCAGCTCAAAGTGAAATGGTTGGAACCCCGCACGCAGTTACAGAACAACACTGCAATGTGTTGACCCATAGTGGAAAATGTGTTGGGAAGTGCAGGCTAGCTCATTTGACTTGTTCTTCTCTTTAAAAAATGACCTTTGCCTTTCACACCCCCGACGCTTGTCCCAAAAGAAGACATCAAACTTATAACTGGCTCTCCTCACTCCATCAATTCCGGGACCCCGCCCGAAGCGACCTCTGCCAAACCGAGGCACATGGCCACGGCGATGAACCGAGAATACCACAAGGGCGCATCTCCGCCAGGGCGGTTCTCTGCCCTGAGGAAGGCGCTCGATGGTTTCGACAGTGGCTGGTGACCGAATGGGTTGACCCAGTCGAAGCCCTTCGGGGTGAGCTGAGGCTTTGAGGCGAAGGTCCAAACCAACCCTGGACATGTCCAATTGGTCTTAGCGAGCACGAATTGGAGTGTTTTGGTCAAATCGAATGACAACCAGAGAGCTCAAATTCCCTGGGAGAGGGTCCTCCGTGCTTCTTTGGTTCTCACTTCACCACAAAAAACTCTAAGCCAGCCAAAGCTGTGTACTTCGCTTGGGGTGTACCCACAAAAAGAACCCACATGTTTGAACCACGTCGAATTCTTCGATAGGACCAATTCCAACACGGGCTCTGGATGAAACTTTACCGGATATGTCGCTCATCTCACTTGGGGAAGCTCGTCCGTTAGTGCATGACTGCGAAGATAGATGATTGAACAGATTTGCGGCAGCCGTCATAGATTCTGCCTTACAAACGTGACCGTTGAGGTTGTCAGCCGTCAGCATCTTCCAAAGCCACCTGGACCTTGCTGAAGAGGTGAATCGGCGTTCCACGGTTCAAAACAATGTCAATATCTACAATTGCCAGGGCAAATCCCTTGCTGCTCTGCGTTGCAGCTGTACTGTGCTTGAAATGGTTCTTCAGGTCATAGGTTTGGACACAACGATGCAGCATTACATTTGGGTCTGCCCATTTTTTGTGGCTAGAAAGGGAAGACCAAAAGGACACGCCAAGATGGTGGTCCCCTTGTGATCCAGTAGCCAACGCGAGGATGCAGCGCCCTTTTACCAACCAGCAAGCAAAGCCTGCAAGGAAAACGGAACAAACCTTCAGCTAGTCACTTTCAAATTGTTCCAAATTGGGGATGGTCAAAAACGTCAGTTCACCATGAACTTCTCCTTCAATCGAACAAATAAACTCGCTTCCTGAGTGGAACAACTTGTCCAAACTTGATGATTGCCACTGTGAGCCCCAATTGAAACACCCTGCTAATGCCGCAGAGGTATGCAACTTGGTCAAGCCAATCTTCGAATGTAAGCAACATATTCCCACAAGATTCCAGCCATTCTTCTTAGAATCCTTCGGAAGACCTGAGTGGGCACCAACAATTGCTACGTCGTTCCTATGCCTTCCGGCCAAAAAAAAAAACACGCCGAGGGCCCGGCTCTAAGTTCCCGTTGCCCTTGAGCCAACTGTCCGCAGGCACTGCAGGCAGGCGGTACACCACCTAACTGCGCAGCTAGATGAATCTGTGGTCCTCCATCTTCAAAAAAGCAACTAAAACTCGCGCCAGAAGCGCGGAGAAACGTCTGGTTGCCGTTTATAAACTTGTTGTTTCCTGTTGCGGAAACGTATTTCCATTCGGGCAAACATGTAACGGTTGCCGTGTGGGGAAATTGTTGGTTTTATTTTCGACTGGGAAAAAAAAACTGTCCAACGTGATAGATCCTCTTTAAAACCAGGGGAAAAGAACAAAGAGTCTTCAGCAAATGGAAGTGGTGTTTGGGGCGTGAAGGCGCCGAAGGGGGTGTTGCAAAGATTTGACTCAAACGCGGCCGGGTGAAAAGCCTTGGAATGGATGGAAAGCTGGACCTATCCCACCGAATCCCCTCAAAAACCATGCCTCAGACCGGATGCTCGATATGCATCTCCCTCAGGCCGCCACAGGCAGCGAGTGGTTTGCTACGATCTCGGCGTGGACCTAAGGCGCCGGGCCGCGAGTTCTTTTGGCATTTTGACCAACGAAGAACTAAACCAAACTGAAACCTGAAAAAGGCTGGCCTCTTAAGAGCTTCGAAGAAATTGAACACCAGCCTGATTCCAAGCCATGCAATTGCCCGCGCTGCGTCGACCTTCTGGAACAAAAGCAAAACTCGTCGCATGCACAACCGCTCCAAGCATCAGGCTACATCGCTGTGTTGCCCTATCGGTGGCAAGCCCCAACAGAAAGATTCCTACAAATCGGGGTTTTTCTAGCCAACCCCACCATGCAGATTTGCATTCCCATCTGGTGATGGGCGTTTTATGCTGAGACATCAGAACGCTATGGCGCCTGGACTCCCCGACCTGCGATGAGACAAAAACATGCCTCTCCCAAGGAAGCCTAGGCTCTCAACTACCCCCCTCATGCCTACCCCCGTTGACTCCACGATCAAGGGATGGCTCCTTTTTCCGAACGAACTCTAGTAGTCTGTCTCTATGCCCAGGTTCATCACGTCGGTGCCTTAGCTGCATGCGCACCAAACGTGTGCACAGTGGTGACCAAGGCCTCTCAACACGTCTCATAACAATGCAGAGGCTCTCAATGTTGCAACACAGCTTCGTGGGTCAGGCAATAGTCGAACGAGCTTCGAACGGTAAAGCAGTGTGACTTGTTGTGATTCTGCCTCGCCGCGGCACGCTTCAAGCTGTGCAAGTTGGACGTCGGACAACTCGCTTCCAAAGATAGCTGTCGGAAGCCAAGCAACAAACAACTTTGAGAATAGACAGGAGTATTTGTTTGGGAATGTGTCCCTCTTCTAGGAGCTCAACAAATGCAGCAAATATTAAACACCCTCCTTTAGTTGGCCTGTTTTGCCGAAGAACTTGGAAAGCATAACGCCGAGGGATACACATGGATTATTACAGCTTCTGCCTTTCTATCTTGGGGAAACCAACGAACTTCTCCAAGAAGTAGGAAGGATCCTATAAACCTATCCCTATCTTTCGACCCCCTGAGGGATACACATGGATCAATGTGGCTTCCTTGAACAAATCGAAGAAGCTACCGCTGGATCAGTGCTGAGCAGCTCAGCACGAAGGTGAGGGCCCATTGGCCCACCGGGCCGTTGCTGGCAAACCACTCCTTCGATTCGAAAGTCGAAGCCCGATTGAACACAAGTAACAACCCACTGTCGGGTTTGTGTGTTGCTTCCTTGGGAGGAGGGGGCTGTACCATATGGTGGGAAATCCCGAACACAAATGCAACGCACATCGTGCGTACGTATATATGAATATATCTGCATCTCTAAATGTATGTATAGCTACACACATGCGCAGCAACTGCATCGACAAACACAACGGCTACACATCTACACATGCCGCGCGCGGACAGGCACACAGCAAAAACACGTAGCTAACATGTGGAAAACGAGGTTTTTTGTTGGAGGGGGGTACCAGCCCCGAAGCTCAACCAGTCAAATCCCCGCCGAAAACCAATCCAACCCCTCAAAACAGGTCAAACTCCCGTAGAAGCCACATCTAAAAACCGGTCCAACTCCGGTCACATCCCAGGAGAGAACGGTCCACTTCCCCTAGAAACCAGTCCAACTCCAGTCCCTAGAAACCGGTCACATTGACGTCTAGAAACCAATCGAATCCCCTCTGAAGACCGGTCTCTGGAAACCGGTCAAATTCGCAATCCGCAAATTCCTTACATCTTCGCTTGCCCCCAGTCCACTGCCTTCTGTGGCTCTCCGGCTGCGGCTCTCGTTCTATCTAGCCCTTGAAGCCATGTGGAACCGCGCGAACGTCCCTCTATCTTGGAAACCAGCTCGTGCATTCCGGCGCCAAGTCACTCACTCTCTCAAACAAACACAACACTTCAAGACAAACCAAAGCACGGTAACACAGTACCTCAAAGCCAGCCAAAAGCATTCTGGCCCGGTATATACACATATAGTATTGTAGAATTTGTATGTATATATATATATATAAATATGTTCATGATTAATGTTCTGGATCAATGCACAAACATGCCGATTGTGATTGCATTTTGTTGCCAAGGGGCAGATAGTTTTTAATTGAAACACTTTCTCGTAATTGTTGGCTCGGTTCATACCAAATTAAAGTTACATGGGACGCAATACACGTTGAGTTCCATTTCTACTTGGAGTGTCAACAGTTGTTCTCTCAATTTACTTTTTGTTCGGTCGTATAAGGATGTGTGAGTGCTTCAAGTTTAGTCTTGTCCGCAGTTGAGACATGATTCAAACTGCATTTTGTTCATGTAATATGCAAAATTTAGTGACTATTATTGGCTTTTTCCTAAACTCAAACTAGATACTCAACAAACATATTAGGTTGGAACTGCCCTCCAGGTTTTTTCAATAGAGTTGAAGAATGCAACTGGAACTGGGTGTGGGCATGGAGCACCTGTGTCATTGACATGGGCTTCTTTTTTATTTCAACTAGCAATTTAATCAACCCCGTGCCACTGGATCAACGGTAAATTCCTTGCCTCACCCTCTGAATGTTGGCATAAAGTGAAACTATTGGGTCGCAAAAGCAATTTCGAGACCATGAGAGGAATGAGATCAACTCCCCAAACTTGAGGGATTGCTGAATTGCCCTGTGAAATGACATTTACGCAACGACACAAGAGCTGCTACTGGCATGTTGAAACTACCAAAGTGTACGTTGGCGTGTCTATGGGAAAGACACGCTGGCTCTTTCCTTTGTATTTTCAGCCCCCCACCACAATGATCCACCTTTTCTGCCTTGAAGCCTGTCTCAAATATGTAATGAGCATACATATTCCTCATGCTAGACTGTGTCGTGGCTTTTACTAGTTGTGCGCTCATGGTTCAGATGCAGAATCATGATCGCGAAGATTGCGCACAACACCCGG